TCTTAGAAACATCTTAGTAGAAAATCGCTCCCTGTCACCTAAATCTCGGCCAAATTTAAAAAATCAAAATTTTCAGGTGGAAATTTCTGGAGGTCATGTGATATTCCGTAAATTGACGCCTAATTAAATTTCCTGATGATATATTAGGATGGACTATCAGTGAACTTACTCATCGTTTTACGCATATTATTTCGAGACTTAGCCATATTATCTATATTTACATATTTACTCAATTCAAATTTGGATATGGTATATAACAGGTACGAAAAAATCAGTTATCTAGATCATGCTTTATATGTCAATTAAAAAACTTATTTTTCTTAAGATCGGATGCATTAATGTAAAGCTCGATAATTAACTTTACCTTTTACTTTACACTTTAAAATGGGTCGCGTTATATGTATAACTTCTATTTCCAAACTGGATGTAGAAGAATTACTTGAATTACTGTTCGAAGTATCTAAATCGGAAGTGTCTAAATCAGAAGTTGCAGAAATATTTGATCTGCGGGATAGTGAAGAGACAGAGTCTCAAGTCTTTAACTCATTTTTTGATTTTCCAGGAAGTGATTTGTAAAAATCATGAATATCTCTTTTATCAATGGATACTATAACCCTTGGCTTCTTTTTGGTTTTAAGATCTTTGATACATAATGTAGTTCTTACAAAAGTATTTTTTGCATCTGTTACTATTTCTGATAAATAATGTTGAATTTTATCATTAATTCTGCTTTGGTCATAGAACTAATTATTACCAAGCAAGATATAATTAGGTATTTTAGGGCCATATTCCTCTATAAGCACTTCAGTCGGAATTGTGATAGATTTCTTGTTACTAAGACGGAGATTATTTTTTATGTTAGAAGTGAAGGTAAGTGGGATTACGGCTAACTCAAGTGGAGCTGTAGTTTCTTCTCTAACAAATTTACTATCTTTTTCTTCGAGAGTCAACTTTCTGCTAATTTTACCACCGATTCTCTTGAGAAGTTTATTAGTACACATAGATAGTTCAAGAAAACATGGTTCCAGATGACAAATAACTTTTTGACCCTCTACTTTAGCTTTGACTATTTTCACTTTCATAGTAAATTATATTATATACTATATCTTTAGCAGAAAAAATAACCAAGTTTAGATAATTAATTGTTCATTCTTCAGTAATAAATGTAAATATTTATAAACCACGCTGGAGGATTCTCTCTGAGATAATTAATAATTGCAGAAATACGATTTGTTTCATTTGATATATGACTCAAATAGTAGTCTCTAAAGGACCTGGTTATAGCTATCCCATTTTCTCGACCGATAAAGATTAGAATAAGTGGAGGTAAATCAAAATCAGAGAATTTATTATCTGAATAATCTAGACATTCGATTTTAGCCGAAAGCTTGCTCACGCTAATTTTCGGATTGAGTTTTTTTAGTACTTCATTACTAATCCTTCTATATCCCTTCAAACTAAGATATTTCAAATTAGTACAGTTGCCAGCTATCTTCTCGATTGTTTTATTACCAACCGAACAGTCGCCAAGCTCAAGATGTCTAAGTTTTGAACAAGAATATATTATTTTAGTGATATACTGATTAGTGAGACATATATATGAATTAAGACTCAGATATAATAGCTTTGGGTAATATCTTACAATTTCTATAATTGGTATATTAGTGAAACCCTTACTTTTATCAAGAATGAGAAAGTGTATATCTGAATATGATCACAGAATTGTATTTATTAAAGCATCTGAGATTTTTAAACCTTCTAATCTGAGATATACCATCTTTGAACAATAGAGTGACTTTATTTTTTCACGCATAACTCTTTTTAACTTTATCAATTGCCAATAACTTTACATATGTACTGATAATATGAAGCATTATTTAATAATGTATTTGACTAGTGATCACAAAATAATTATATTACTAAAACTAATACTTTATTTTTTAATTTGAAAATACTTTTGAAAGAGTTTTTACTTTGTATGACCTTGACATTATCAAGATAAATAAAGAAAAATCTCTTAGTTTAGAACAAATTGGCAATAATGTAAATAAATTAAAAGAAAAACTTGGAAGAGATTTAAATCTTTTATATTGCTATTTGTATTTAGGTATAGTCAATATGGATATTATGAAACTGAATTGGAAGGACCTCTTAGCTAGTCAGGTTATTAGTGATAAATTGGAACTTGTAAATCAATTGTCTGAAAATTTAAAAAAGAGATTTATGATAAGATTTTACTTTATAAGTTAGAACTTACTTTACACTTACAAAGTAACTATAAATAAATATGTTTTATTCACTAATGATATATTATATATTTCTTCGAAACTTGACTTGTTAAGTTAGAAACTTACTTGTAAAATGTCACCTAAACCTTTTACTATTGTTCAGAAAATATGTAATAAGTTTGTAACAAATTTTAATAAACTTGATGATAGACCGATATATACTAAATTAGTTCACAATAGAACTTGAAAAGAATCTGAAGAAAGTATCGCAAATGTAATTAAAGAAATTTTTAGTGTTTTAAAGGATATTTGAAACAATTCTGCTTTCAGTTCTGAATTCACAAAAACATTAAGTGAAGGGACATATCAATTGACTATTATATTATCAACAATTCGAGTATCGTTAAAAAATCTTCCTATTGATAATTCTTTTTTTATTAGTATATCGGAAAAACAAAGTGTTGTCAGTACTGATAGAAAAGGGAATGGATTTATGGAGAAACATCCAGATATCATATTTGTTGCAAAATATTGGAAAACAATTTTTGAACTTATGTATATTGAATGTTCCTACTTAATTTGTATCACTTAAAAAAAGATTGATGATGATATTAAATTATAGAGAGAATGTAATGATAGACTTTTTTGAGTATGCCAAACTCTTAAACTAGATAAGGATCAATTTGGTGTTGTAGATATACAAATTGCAAGTAATGAGTTGTATTTAAATTTACTTGTTCAAGATATGAGAAATATATATCAATATTATCATCTCTGGTCTGTTGAAATTCCAGTACAATTTTCAGATAGAAGGGTTGTATATAAATTTATAGAAACTTTATTACTTTTGCATAATTTAATAATTACTAACCTATCTCTGCTATATCATGGTACAATAACATCATCTCAAAGATTAAAGGAAGGAAGTATATCAGTTACTACACCACAAGATAATTATCTATAGATTTTTATTTATCCTGTAATTCTATATGTATTTTTTATTGTATATTTAGGTGTCTTTGACACTAGCTCCGCTATTAATAAAGATTTTTGATTAGAGGAACATACAACATATTATGTGTTATTTTTTGTGTAAGCCTTTAGGTGATTCTTCAAATCATGTATAACAGTAATTTTTCTGAAATAATTTTCTTGGCAAAAGAGATCTGCATTTCGAAACAGAACGTAAACACGTGATTTTTTCTGATTGTTAATGGTTTTTCGTGTCTTATATAAAAAGTTACTAAAATGCAATCCGAACTAGATCTATTGAAACAAGAGAGAGCCAGGCTTTTGGCTAGAATTACAGAATTGGAGCAGATTGCGGAAGATAAAAATAAACTTGAGGTTAGATCCAGAGTCGTGAATTGGAACATATCACTGAAAACTGAGATAAGTGTAATGCATTCTGATGGTGCTGGATATACTAAATTAACTTATTTTTTCTGCGTATATAAAATGGTTAGAAGATTAAGATCAGGTGCTACACGCTTATCACCCGAAGCAATTAGTACTGGTAAAGGTATAACAAATGCATTATCGATATTAGCTAACAAGTATTGCATATCATATACACAAATTTATGAAATATGGCGACTTGTCACTGCAATTAATTAGTAAATTCATTATATAATCATTTCATAGTCACAATACAATCAATACATTGTTTATAGTTCACAAACCCGATATAAAAAAAATAAATGAATTCTTTATAAATTGTGCTTTAGAATTTATGTCCAATACCACGGAATTTATGATGCAATAAGTAAATCGGGTGGGTAAATTTATTTAGTAAACTCAAAACAGCTATAAAGGTCTGCTTTACACCTCGTTAAATTAAAAAAATGGTTCACCATAAAAAACAGATGTCATAATGAAAGTTTGGTTACCTATATCACTTTCGAATTTATTTGTATCCAATTTTGGACTCATCAAAAACAATAAAGGTGAGATTTTAAGGCGAAATGCTTGCAAAAGAAGCGGTTATATACTAACAGAGTTTAAATTAATGGTATACGTAAACATACCAGAGTTCACATTTTAGTTGCACAAGCATTCATCCCTAACCCAGATAATAAGCCTTACGTTAACCACATCAATGGCATCAAATATGATAATCGGGCTGTTAATTTGGAATGGGTAACACCTAAAGAGAATGCCGAACGTAAGATATTCCCGAATTATGGTCGTGGTAGTTCTAGGCAAATCATACAGAAATCATTAGATGGGAAGGTTATCCGGTTTGGATTCTATTAATCTTGCAAGTAATACACTTAAAATTATAGGATCCAATATTTCGGCATGTTGCAGAGGAAAACAAA